CAGGAATGTAGAAATTGTACCAAAGCTGGTTAAAAATACACATGGGGGGATTAAACAAACACAAGAGAGAATCACCAACAGCCTTTTCTAATGAATCAACCTATGCCAGCATTAGCAACATATTACTCATGAACTGAATAAGCCCATTAAATAATGCTCTTTTTTTCCACCTTTAAATTTAGCACCATCGCTCATGGCTGCTGCCCTCAATGCAAGCTGAAGGTGTCCACACACGGGTTATATTGAAGGGGAAAATTAAATTAAATTCTGTCTCACATCTGGAAGTGATGCTAGCACATGTGACACCAATTAAAGGCAAGCCTAGTAAAGGGAAAGGCTCTCTCCACAGCGCCTGGCCTTCCACTGACACAGTCCCCTCTACCTGCTCTGCCATTTTTTTCCATAGGGTCACTTTCTGGCTCTCTGCAAGCATCCTTGTAAAAGGAGATGCCATTATCACCTATTTAATTTCTCCTGATTAGTCAAGGCTACAGGGATGAGATGCTATCTGACATGTTCTTTGGACAAGCCTCCTCTCTGCAGAACTACAACATTGCACACACTCCCTGTATTAGAGCTCTCTGTGTGCAACTCTCCCATGGAAAACTTCAAGGCAACATTCATAACAATCCATTGTCCAGTTCTTAGGAGATTTATGCCCTTCATGTCTGCTCTAAAACTGCTTGACCTTTGAAAAGATACCCCAAATTAATGTTGTCCCTACTTTTCAGGGGGTTATTAGTATGCAAACTATCAAGAAGCCCTATGAAAAGCATTTTCGTTCATGCGTGTCTCTGTCAACACTGGCCGCACATGAAAACAAGAAGGAAGATAGACTTTTGTTACTGCTTTTGGACATTTTAGATTGACTGAAGATATTCAGAAAATATTTAGCACTTTGATCACCATGATTAACAGCAGTTATTATGCTGTTGTCATGTTCCAACAACTTCAGATTACTTTTAATATGGAACAAATGAAACTGGAATAAGGGATGAAGGATTCCAGTCTATTTCAGTAGGTATCCTACTAAACCACTGTATTGCTTTGATCCGCTTTTATGCTGCATAGATGTTCATCTCTGCAGGATCACTAACAAAGTAACTTTCAAAGCAGAGTTCTGGCACATCAGAGTAGCCTTTAAGAATCTAAACTACTTCAAAGCAGATTTGTGATACTAAGGTCCAGGATTTTAGTCTACGATATGTAGACTTCATCATGGTATCACTGAGCACTGGACAATTTTCAATTCATGAGCTCATCTCTGAGCAGATGATATAGGGTCCAGTTAGATGTCTTCCTGAAGAAACTTGGGATAACATAAAGCATTCATGAACTTCTCCTCCCCCCGGCAAAAAAAACCAAAAAAAACCCAGCTCTACATACCAAGTGGGAAACATTTTATGTCATTATCCCTGGATACCAACCCCCTCATCTTACTCTTGATTTAATTGTGGGAGCTCTCCATGGTGCAAGGAATTCCTAAGAAGTATCCATGTGTCCGGAGAATGAACTGGGCTAGACAGATGAATTCGGCCAACCTCAGAACAGGTTGAAAATTCATGGCAGTTGTCATAGTGAAGCAAACAATATTTTTGCACAGTGTAAGAAAAAGCAATTGACTGAACTACTGGGAGACTAGCAGCATCAGTGCCTTTGTTATAAAGTACAGCAGCTATTTCAGTTTTCCACCCAAAGTTGTGCACTGACCTTTTTCCATATGAGAAACTGGGGTCTTTGCATTTTTAAAAAACGTTAATCATTATAACTATTTTCCAAGAGCTTAGCTTAAGGCTTCTTCTTTGTTACTTAGCCCAATAAAACCATTTAACTTCCCATTAAAAAGGGTGTTGTTGATCCTCTCCACATTAGCTGGGGAAACACCAAGCTGTCAGCTCACAGTTTGGCAACTAAAAAAGAAACATCATTTCAATTTCCACTGTACACTGCTCCTCACTCCATTAACCCAGTCCTCACATGCTGTAGATGAAGATCACTGAAGGCAACAGGGCTCCTGCTGGAGCTCCTACTGGTGAAGTTCAGCAAGGATCGCCAACTCCATTTCAAACCACAAATACCAAAGGCATCCTAATTGTATCCCCCCCCCCCTTTCAGCAGACAATGCAACTCTCAGCTTTCTCATCCAACCTTATGGAACTCATGTCTTGAATAATGGCTCTACTGCTAACCTCTGCAATAGCCCAAGAGAATTTTTTGGCATGAACTTTATTCACCACACTTTCCTGTTCTGCAAAATGGGAACAATAGCAGCCTATTTTGAGTTGGCACCCAGTAGACTGTTTACTTTCAGTTCTGTCTAGACATTTGAAATCAACAGGAAATGTCAAACATTTATATATATATATATATATATTCCTTTTTCATGACAGATAGAATCAGTAATTTTGTTATTTGTAATGGTGGGAAATCCTGTCTACAGTTGCTTATACATTCTGTAGTCCTACGCATATTCATTCCGCCATGAATTATATTACAATCAAGGGAAACATGCTGGAACCCATAATTTTTCTTGTATACATCTAATGTTATATCAATATGGTGGGGGATCTATTTTTTTCCAAAGGTTACCATTACCAAAGTATCCATTAACAGTTGCAGCCCTAGAAATCTATAACAGCACTATAGTGCTACTGAACAGATGGTGAGCAACACAGAAATCCATATTATTAAACAGGGTCAGAAACAATTCCTAAACCCACACAGCATAACTAGAGTTTAAAAGAACCTTTAATGAAGTTGTACATTTTAAAACCTGGCATGGGAGTTGGGAATTCAAATCCTGGCTCTGCTTCTTCTGCGCTGAACAGTTAATGTCATGAAACTTACCTTCATTCCGGTCTGAAGCTAAACTTCCTATGCATCTCCCTGCCGACCCCTTCTATCAGCAATCACCATCCCCTTCCAGACCTTCATCTCCAACAGCCCAGTTCCATCAACCCACCTGTTTGTAGGCATCTAGGAGGAAGCTATTCCAGACGCAGCGCAGCCCCTCCGATGTCAGCATCCTTCGCCACTCACCACGTGCAGATTTGGAGCGACTCAGAAGAAGCACCATGTGCTTCAAGAGGACCACCGAATCATAGAGTGCAAGGAAGAGGCAATTGGAGAAGAAAACCGGCAGGATCTGCAGTGTGATCAACAGGTCCACGCTTAACAGACCCATCTCTTTCTTGCTGCTGCTCTTCAAAAGCTTCCTTTGAGTTCCCTGGTCATGCCCTGTATCCTCATTAATAAAACAAAACAAAATACAAGGTGCTTCTTAAAAACCCATTGTGCCCCATCTCCTTGCAGAAAATTGGCTCAATACAACAAAGCAGGTTTTTTAAAAAAAGAAACTCAAAAAGCCAGCGTGAAAGTTCTTCCACCCTGAACTGCTTTTATTTTATTTTCAGAAAGTCTGTCAAACTGTTTTTCCCCTTAACTAGTAGCCCTTTTCAGTCCGTTAAAAAGGAGAGAGACAGAGAGAGACAGCTGTGCTGCCAACTGCTTGCAGTTCTAAAACTGAAGCAGAACCACTGCTAACTTTCCTCTAACTCTCAGCTCTTTAAGTACAAAAGTAAGCAGCTCCCTCAATCCTTTATCACCAAAGCTATCAGGTGAAACATTACTAGAGGTGGTGGGGGGAGTCTTTGTACACAAACTTTCTGCTCTTCTCTCACTCACTTCGGCTCAGTCTCTCCCCTGCCACTCTCTGCTTTCTCTCCCTCTCCCTATCTGTCTGTGGTACAAAGTGCTTTCCCTCTGGAGTTTTAGCTAGCTTCCCTGAAGCCTTTTATACATTCCCTGGCTAATTGCTGCAATAGAGAAATGAAACCCTAATCTTAGTAAAGATCTTGACGTCAATGTAAAAGAGGGCTTTACTTTGGCCAGGACTGCAGTGAATAGAAAAGTAAAATTCTCAAAACTCTTTTTCTTTTTTTTTAAGGAAAGAGAAGGGAGTGGGGAGGGAAGAACTTTGCTTTGTAGTTTAAAAAGAAAAGAAATCTCCAGCTACCTCTGATGTGTGTGTGTTTTTCCAGAAATGTTTTCATACATTGGGAAAACATTTTCATATGACATAGAAAGTGCCACAGAAACATGGTCGTCTATTGTTTAAAATGATTTTTAATGCATTCGCAGGATTTTTTTTCAAAGTATTATTTTGCTCCTCTGTACTATTTTCTAGGAAGGTGTGTGAGCTGATGCATCCTAGAAAGGGACACATTTTGGTACATTTCCCTCCCACAACTCTCAAGTACAAAAGCATGTGCTGTTTTAAATATCTTTTGTCATCTTCTTGGTATTTAAGGAAACGCAAGGAACACCCAGGTCTGACTTCATCCACTTATGTGGAAGAGAATTAAACAAACGAGAAAAAGAGGAGCAGGGTCTTAACTCCATTTTTTTCTTTAACACTGAAGTTTGTAAATTGAATTACAGTGACCCAAAATCAGAGATGATGGAAATCAGGGTGCCTCACACATACTCATTATTACAGCTTCAAGGGATTGCATTTATTTATAAGGACCTTCTAACCAAGAATAATAACTTGCTTTATTCCAACCTTCTCCCATCCAAGGGAAACCATATTTCCACTGGAATATCTAAAGGCTCCCACAGAGTGACAAAGCAGATACTATAGCTTAATTTTGGGAAAAAAATTCCTGCAATTTCTACCATAACCACCACCCCTCTGTCTCTCAGTCTGTGTGTGTGTGTGTGTGTGTGTGTGTGTGTGTGTGTGTGTAGTCCATTTTAGGGCAACTAGGTATATGTCACATGCATCCTAGATGATAGTTAATAGGTAACTGTATTATTCCCATTTTACAAATTAGAGAACTGAGGCTGAGAGGCAGTGATATGCCTATAGTCAATGTGAAACCTCAATTTGAACCTGAAACTTTACTTAAAACCAGGTCAACAGGAGCCAATCTTGTCATTGTCTAAGAGTGATTATTTTAAAAGCCTTCTGTTTACCTACACACTCTGGCCCACTCAAACACAAAACACCAGGAGATTTAAGGATTAAACAACAAAATCAGAAACAGAATTGAGAAAATTAGTGTATTATCACACTAGCATGTCTAAGCCTAGCCAAAAGGTGTCCTCTTAGAAATAGTGTGGGGTCAATGTGGAGTAGTGATTTGAGTGCTGGGGAGATCTGTGTTCAAATCCCTGCTTGGGCCTTGATGCCCAATGGGTGACTTTGGGCCAAACCACTTTCTGTCTGGCCTAGCTCACAAGATGGTTATAAGGAACACTCATGTACACTATTCACAAACACCACTGAGTATCTTTGAATAAAGACTTCGTTTTATCCTGATAGAACAAAGAAAAGGACAGTATAAAAATATTCTTGGCAATATCACATTGCTTTGCCTTGCTTGCCTTCTCCTGCATCCTTCATCCAATAATAATAGCTACCATCTGTATAGGGATTTCCAGGGTTCAAAGCACAATTCAAAAGCACACACAATATTGGTGTGTGCTGAGCATGTACTCCACTAAGCAAAGTCTGAAGCTTTCCTCCAGACTAAGGAGACTTCCTCTGACTTAAGTGGATCTTCCTCCAATGGATGTAGTGGCTCTTCCTCCAATAGAGGAAGACGAAGGTAAGATACATGCCCTAATTCCCAAACTGCAAATGGGAAGCAGTGGCTAGTCCAAAGCCACCTAGTGAGCAAGGACCACTGGGGGAGTGGAGTGGGGAGGTAGATGTGAATTTCCTGCATTGTACAGGCAGTTGGACTAGATGGCCCTTAAGAACATAAGAACATAAGAAACACCAATGTTGGATTAGGCCAAAGGCCCATCCAGTCCAACACTCTGCCACACAGTGGCCGAAAATACCAGGTGCCATCAGAAAGTCCACCAGTGGGGCCAGGAGATTAGAAGCCCTCCCACTGTTGACCCCCCCAAGCACCAAGAAGACAGAGCATCACTTGCCCCAGAGTCCCTATCTATACTTTGTGGCTAATAGCCACTGATGGACCTCTGCTTCATATTCTTATCTAATTCCCTTTTGAAGCCATCCATGCTTGTAGCCGCCACCACTTCCTGTGGCAGTGAATTCCATGTGTAAATCACTCTTTGGATGAAGAAGTACTTCCTTTTATCCGTTCTAACCTGACCTCTCAGCAATTTCATTGAGTGCCCATGAGTTCTTGCATTGTGAGAAAGGGAGAAAAGTATCTCTTTCTCTACCTGCTCTATCCCATGCATAATCTTATAAACCTCAATCATGTCACCCCTCAGTCATCGTTTCTCCAAGCTAAAGAGCCCTAAGCGCTTTAACCTTTCCTCATAGGGAAAGTGTTCCAACTCTTTTATCATTTGAGTTGCCCTTTTCTGCCCTTTTTCCAAAGCTGTAATATTATTTTTAAGGTGTGGTGACCAGTTCTGCACGCAGTAATCCAAATGAGGTCGCACCATTGATTTATATAGGGGCATTATGGTACTGGCTGATCTGTTTTCAATACCCTTCCTAATAATCCCCAGCATAGCATTGGCCTTCTTTATTGCAGTCACACACTGTCTCAACATTTTCAGTGAGTTATCTACTACAACTCCAAGATCTCTCTCTTGATCAGTCTCTGCCAGTTCAGACCCCATCAATGTGTATTTATATTTAGGATTTTTGGCTCCAATGTGCATCACCTTGCACTTGGCCACATTGAACCCCATTTGACATGTTGATGCCCACTTGCCCATCCTTGACAGATCCCTTTGGAGTGCCTCACAATCCTCCCTGGTTTTCACCACCCTGAACACCACCCTTGGGGGCCCTTCCACCTCAGGAGGTGGTGGGCTCTCCTTCTTTGGAGGTTTTTAAGCAGAGGCTAGATGGCCATCTGACAGCAATGCTGATTCTACGAATTTAGGCAGATTGTGAGAGGCTGGGCATGAAAGGAGGAGTCAGTGCCCTGCTCTTGTGGCCCTTTCTTATACGCCCAGGATAATGTCAATTGCCACTTTGGGGTCAGGAAGGAATTTTCCTCCAGGCCATATTGGTCCTGGGATCCTGGAAGTTTTTTGCCTCCCACTGGGTATAGAGCAAGGGTCATTGGGGGAGTGGTTAGCTGTGAATTTTCCTGCATTGTGCAGGAAGTTGGGCTACATGACCCTTGGGGTCCCTACCAGTTCTATGTTTCTAGGAAGAGATGAAATTTGGAACACAGACCTTCTGATCAATAGCTCAATCTCTTAGTAAATTATCTCTCGCATGCTTCCTGAAGCAGAGATTGTTTTCTTTCTTGGGAATTGTCTATAAAATCATAATTCTTTGTGTGGGGAGGATGATCTGTTTAATCTTCCAAACTGACTTCATTGTCATCAACTGAGCCTTGTGACTCTGCTGAGAAGACCAGCCCACTGTGGACAGGCAGCCAAAACATGCCTGAATCGGCCAGTTCAAATGAACTAATCCTGTGGTTAGCAGACAAGGAATCCTAGGATGTGAGTCCCTTTCTCTGACATAGACTGATCAAGCAAATGGAGTCACTCTCTCTGCTCTGGGATTAGCTTACCACTCAATGAAATGCCTGTGAAGGACCTTATGTTCTACACTACCTGCACATAGTCTGCTTGAAGAGAGTGGTGATCATCATTTGCATGAAAATCTACTAAATGAAGGTTAGGGGCACTACAAAACTGAGTACAATTCAGACTTGCCTCCTACTTAAAACTAGATACAAATCCACAAATGGAAGTTGACCCCATTATCCTTAAATAGCAAGATACTAACCCTGTTCACAAGTTACAGGGTTCACAATCACAAGCATAATGTACGCTTGATTTTTATAGAGTAATTTCCATGTTACATTCAGTACATGCACAGCTGAACATACTGGTCTCCAGTTTCATTTGTAAAGTGAACACATATTGGCTCTTGCTTACTAACAGGTTATGCACACAAATGCACATTGTACATATTTTCACAGTAACATACGAAAAGGGCTCATGTGAAGATGAACTGGATTTGCTAAGGCACCATGTCTAACCTTCCTTCTTTGATCTTCTCCACCTAGCCCCCTTCACCTTCTCCTCTTTCTAGGAAGCATATTTTATTTTGCTGTATTTAAATGAATTAACACATCAACATAGGGTGAAGAGAGGCTTCATGTCGTACAAAAACAGAGGAGAGAAGGGCACAGTACACATCTCAGAAGAGGCCGGGCCATAAAGTGACAG